ATAAAGACTCTGTTTCAGAAAAAAAAAAAAGAAAAACAAAAACATATTCAACTCAAGAGACTGATTATCCTGGGTGGGTCTGCCTTAACTAGGTAAAAGCCTTTAAAAGCAAGACCTGTGGCTCAGTGAGTAGGGCACTGGCCCCATGTACTGAAGGTGGAGGGTTCAAACCCAGCCCCAGCTAAACCGCAACAAAAAATAGCCAGGTGTTGGTGGGCACCTGTGCTCCCAGCTACTTGGGAGGCTAAGGCAAGAGAATTGCCTAAGCCCAGGAGTTGGAGGTTGCTGTGACGCCAAAAATAAATAAATAAAGCAAGACTGGGCCTCCCTAGAGGAAGAAATTATTCTGCTGGCTTTGAAGAAATAAGCTACTACCAAGTTGAGAGTCAGCCAGGAAGAAAGTAGGGAACTCAGTCCTACAACCGTAAGGAGCTAAATTCTGTCACCAACCATGTGAGCTTGGATGCAGCCTGGCCAACCCCCAGCCTGTGGGACCCTAAGCAGATGACCCATGAAGCTATCCCCTGACTCCTAAGCCAGAAAAACTCTAACATAATAAGTGTATGTTCTTATTTGCAGTAGTTGTTGCCTTCTGTAGAGGAATGGACACCATGTTTACAAAGGACAGTTACTGATTCTTATCACATTAAAAGGAAATGCTGAGAACAGGACAGTCTCCTGGCAAGCCTAGAGACGTTTTGTGACTTGGGGGCTGTCCCCCAAGAAACTCAGTGTTCCGGAATGAGATAAGATCGGTCACTCACTAATAAGCATGTGTTAAACATTGATGCTTGGTCCTTCTTCATGGGGGTTGTGGGGAAAGAACACGTGAGGAAAGAGCATGTGGCAATCCTGACACAAGCAGCCCTCGCATGTAATTACCTTAACTCTCCACACCTGTTGGGTATAACCTTAATAAACTGCCGCTGGGGAGGGGGCCCTGGGCTACCCTGCACTTAAGGTTAGCCCGCCTCCCGCAAGCTTGTACTTCTAATCCGTGTTACACCTGGTTCCTTCCTGCGGTGACTGAGACCAGGGCCTTTGGGGTCGCAACAGCCTTCCTTAGAAAACTAATACAGGTGCGTATCAGGGATGCCTTTAGTGACCTCCTAACAGCCCCGACTCTTTGAGGGCTTACTAAATCTACAGTCAGCATCGTGCCACTAGGCAGAGAATGGCCAACAATGGCCCCATCATGACCCACCTCCAGAAACTCAAGCTCGTCCCCCTTCGTGAGGCCGGCTTCAATCTCCTCCTTCAGCTTCTGGATCTCATTCTTCCTTTTGAGGAGAGCCTGATAAATGGTGTCAAACTTGGCGTTGACCCTCTTCTCCTCCTCCTTTATCTTCCGTGTGGCGTTGGCCTCTGAGGCCTCAATGAGAGCCTTCATTTCCTTGTATTCTTGCTTAAGCTGCTCCACCTTCTTGTTCATGGCAGCCTAAGAGAGCCAAGGCAAGGGGCACCCATCAGTCGACAAAAATGCCAAGGTTGCAGCCCCAAGAGCTGGAGAGGTGTGGAACACCAGGAACTCAGACCTGCGCCGTGTGGGAGTACAAACCAGCACGGCCGCTTTGGAGAACAATGTGGCAATGTCTAGTAAAGGTGAAGGTGCCGTGCACGACGTCCCAGCACCTCCAACCCTGGGAACATGCTAAAGACACATTCTCAGCCACGTGCCCCAGAGACACACACAAAAATGTTCATAAGCAGCCTTGTTCAAATTAGCAAAAACATGGCAACAGCCTGAATATCTATTAACAGGAGGCTTAGGGAACTGAGAACTACTCATAGGATGGAATATCAGTTATGAAAACTAATAAATGGGGGCTGTCCATGGATTTACCTCCATAAGAGAAAAACAGCTTGTAGACACTCTTGTAGTATAACACTCTTTACGTAAAGCTTAGCAACACAGTGGCAGTATTTACAGAGATGCTTGGGGGCCAGGTGTAGTGGCTCATGCCTGCAATCCTAGCACTCTGGATTACTTGAGCTCAGGACTTTAAGACCAGCCTGAGCAAGAGCAAGACCCTGTCTCTATTAAAAATAGAAAAACTGGCTCGGCACCCATAGCACAGTGATTATGGCCCAGCCACATACACTGAGGCTGGCGGGTTCGAACCCAGCCTGGGCCAGCTAAACAACAATGACAAGTGCAACAAAAAAATAGCCAGGTGTTGTGACGGGCACCTATAGTCCCAGCTACTTGGGAGGCTGTAGCAAGACAATCACTAAAGCCCAAAAGTTTGAGGTTGCTATGAGCTATGACGCCATAACACTCTACCAAGGGCTATATAATAAGACTTTGTCTCAAAAAAACCCAGTAAAAATAGAAAAACTACCCAGATGTAGTGGCGCATACCTGTAGTCCCAGCTACTCAGGAGGCTGAGGCAAGAGGATCCTTTGAGCCCAAGAGTTTACAGTTGCTATGAGCTATGACGCCATAGCACTCTACCGAGGGTGACAGAGTGAGACTCTGTCTCAAAAAAATAAAAAATTAAAAACAAAGAAATGCATGGGGATTAACAGATAAATTAAGGATGGTGGTTACTTCTAGAAGGAAGGAAGAAAGTACAATAAGAAAGAAACAGAGGGCCGGACGCCTGTAATCCTAGCACTTTGGGAGGCTGAAATGGGCAGATTGCTTGAGCTCAGGAATTCAAGACCAGCCTGAGTAAGAGCAAGACCTTGTCTCTAAAAAAAAAATAAATAACTGGGGCATTGTGGTGGGTGTCTGTAATCCCAGCTACTTGGGAGGCTGAGGCAAGAGGATCGCTTGAGCCCAAGAGTTTGAGGTTACTGGCTCGGCGCCTGTGGCTCAAGCGGCTAGGGCGCCAGCCACATACACCTAAGGTGGTGGGTTCGAATCC